CTGGTAAGTTGCTCAATGCTTTAATAGAGTACAGGCCTCTCAGTGATGTGGCCTTGCATTCCCTGGGTTCTTGTTAAAATGCAGATTTTGATCCGTGGCGCTTGGAGCGGGGTGGGGGGTGGGGGGAGGCTAGGGGGGGTGGGGGGGTGGGGGTGGTACCTGATGGCTTGCATTTTGGGGAGGAGCTACCGCTGCTGCTGGTTGGTTCAGGGACCATACTTCGAATGAAGATGGCTAAGTGTCAACTCTGGGCTTAGCTGCTGGTCTCAGGCAGAAGCTGAAAACAAATACGAGAGGACCTGGATCCTTGGTCCTCAAGGGGGTCTGGTGTAGGGAAGAGAAATTAATGCCAGGAAATGATTCACAGACCGTGATGTATCAGGAATGTGCTCCTGACCGCCTTTGGAGTTTAGAACAAAGGGAGGAGCCCCTCCAGGTCTGGACTTGTCGGGAGATGTTCCGCCAAAGCATCAAGGACTTGAAATTCCTTGGGAGGTCCCACAGAGGAGGAAAGGCATGGCTGGAGAGTCAGGCTGTGCTTGAGAGGCTCGGGAAACGTGGAGGTGTAATAATACAAATCACGAAAAAACACAGCTAACATCTAGGGAGGGTCTGTCTGCTGTAGGACCTGTACTGGAAGCTCAGGGAGGGCCAGCCCTGTGCCCTCTTAGGAACTGGGGCAGCATCTTGCAAGAAGGGTTCACTTGAGAGACTCGGATGGCAGTGTGGAACTGATAGGATTCACCCAATCTTAAATTTACAGTTGGTGACCCTACTCTGTTGCCTGCCCATAAGATGAGTTTGGCTCTAAAGGGGTTTGGCCATTAGTTTCCTTAGACTTTTTGTTTGTTTCTTTTGGAGATACTTAGATCTTTATTCCCTTTTTGTGTGCAATATTTCTAGATAACTCATACATCTTGAATACCCCTGAAAACTCGTTTGTGATGATGCTGATTAAAAGACAATCTCCAGGGGCCCCTGGCTGGCTCAGTTGGTGAAGCATGTGACTCTTGACCTTGGGGTTGCCAGTTCAAGCCCCACACAGGCCGTGGAGCTGACTTAAAAAAAGTTTAAGAAACAAAACAAAAAAACCAAGGACAGTCTCCAGTGTGGATCAGATCAACATTTGGAATGTGAGCTTCCGACTAGAGTCTCTCAAATGGTAGCTGGCCACCCCGGAGGGTGTTTTCTCAGTGAGGATCCTACAGATTTTAAATCACTGCACCTCGCATGCAAAGTGAAACTAACACACGTATTCTTCACTGTCTGCACTGATGTATTTTGGATTATGTGCAATATACCAAGAAGACATGATAATTCAAGTTTTAAAATATTTTTTTAAAGATTTTATTTATTTATTTGACAGAGAGAGATCACAAGTAGGCAGAGAGGCAGGCAGAGAGAGAGGAGGAAGCAGGCTTCCTGCTGAGCAGAGAGCCCGATGCGGAACTCGATCCCAGGACCCTGAGATCATGACCTGAGTCAAAGGCAAAGGCTTAACCCAATGAGCCACCCAGGTGCCCCAACCTGTAACTTTTATACCTTTTTTTGTATGTACAGTTTTATTTAGGTATTTATTCATGTGCATACAGTGTATTACGTCAGACTGAAGGATACTTGTAATCACAGTTTACTTTCAGCTGTGAATGCTGTTTTTTGTGGCTTTAATTGATCACGATAATCTTTCTGGCTCATGCAGTGTTTTGCATAAATGTGAATTTCATTGGTTGAGACATATGGGAGAAGACAGATGGAGTAGTAGATGTTTTAGTAGGAGAAATTGACCAGCCTGGGAAAGGAATTGGGTGTTGGGTTTGAGGCAGGGACATTTTAGCCATGACTCTTTGCCCCATCTCTTCACCCAGGGGTCTCGTCTCCTTCTGACCAGACAAAAGCAAGTTCCAGACTGGTTTACCCAGGTCACCCATCAACATTTGCCCGTGTGTGGGAGGTAATTTCCAGCCCACCTCTGGTTTCTTCTTTCCTTCCTTCTTGTGTTGATTCCTGTATTGACTTCCTAGAGTAGCTTCCAATAAAAATTGAGATTTTTCTTTAAAATGTGTTTTTAGTACACAGAGGTGTCATTTAAAAGTCAAATCCATGAAGGAATATTTTTTACCTGCTGGGTTTAATTTCAGACGCCAGTGTTATCATAAAATGCAAGCCACCCTAGACTCTGTTTTAAAACTTTGGGCGAATTATGCCAGTTGAAATTAACTTTTGCAGATGGAGCGAGGAGAAGAGGAAAATAAGTGTCTTAAAGAGTTTTTTTAAATGCTTTTAAATATTAACGCTACTTGAGTTCAGCTCCATATAATATTCCTGCTTTCCCCTGAAACCCCAATTCACCAATAGCTTTCCAGTTTTTGTTCTATTGAACATTTTTTTTTTTAAATGAGAGCAAACAGTGGCAATATATTTGACTCTGGGAAGAAAATAATCATAAGACTCAACATGAAGAATTTAGGTTAGGCCAGAAGGAAAATGACGCCAGAAGGAAAATGACCCCTGGTAAAGGTTGTTAGACTCAGTTCCTTAGGGAGAGGAGAGCCTGAGGTGTCGCTGCCATAGGTGTGTATGACCTTTGGCTAATTGGTCTTTCGAGGCCTCGGTTTCTCATCCATTAAATGGGGATGCAAACTGGTTCCTACCTCATAGGTTATTACTGCTAGTTGTCTTTGCTACTATTATTATAGGTGACCTGCAAAACAGAGCAAGCCGGGGCGCCTGGGTGGCTCAGTGGGTTAAGCCTCTGCCTTTGGCTCAGGTCATGATCTCAGGGTCGTGGGATCGAGTCCCGCATCGGGCTCTCTGCTCAGTGGGGAGCCTGCTTCCTCCTCTCTCTCTGCCTGCCTCTCTGCCTACTTGTGATCTCTCTCTGTCAAATAAATAAATAAATTCTTTAAAAAAAAAAAAAAGAACAAAACAAAACCCACAAAGGGCCATTTTAACGTGGTGGTATCTTCTAATGGAGATTCCCGTAGGGATGCTTCAGGCTGAAATCATCCATTGCATGGTGATCTGTTTTCTGGAAAAGCCTGAGCAGGGCTGCTCTACCCTCCATCTCAGGAGGAGGTGGGGCTCACCCTGCCACGCGCCCCATCCATCTTTGCTGGGCACTTACTCAAGGGCTCTCTCACTTAAGACCCTCCGACAGAGTGCATTGCTTTCGAGAATCAAAAGGAAGCTTACCCAGCGACAGGGGGCTTGCCACTGCACAGCTAGTCACGCGTGGGACTGGATTTGAATCCAGATCTAACTGCATAGCCTCCTGTCCCCTGTTCCTCCTGCGAGATGGGCCCGTGTCGGGGCGATCCTCACCCACAGCTATCATTGGTGACTCACAGATTGTGTGAGGGGTTCACTGCCCAAGCTCCAGAATGAAAAACTTGCCACGGCCGGGGATGGGGAGACTTTTCTCCAATCAACATGCTTTGTTTAAAGCAATTTTGTTTGTTTGGTTTCCCTTGCTAGTCCACGCCCTCCAGCCCTGTGGTCATTCATTTGTTTCAAAGGGGAGCCATTCAGAAAATTGTCTCAGAGTGGGTGCAGAAGCCCGTCTGGCCTTGACAGTTGAGATGGCTCCATTAGATGTTCAATGCCAGCAACTTGGTGAACACACTCCTGAAGCTTGGAAGGGCCGCCTTGGGTTAGGATCTGATCCCACTGATTCGTTCAGCAGTTATCACCCAGCCTGCAGGTGACAGACGGTATGCCCGGTCTTGGGGAGTGCACGGTGAGTGGACACGGTCTGTCTCCCGGAAACCCCCAGGCTGGTGGGGACGGCAGACAGTTCAACCAGACCATCGTCCCAGTTCAAGGGTTATGGCAGAGGGAAGGGCATACTGTGGGGAACACCCAGAGGGACACCCAAACCAGCAATTTCACGGACATCCGTCCTCTGGGGGCGGGAAGCCTTGTGTAGCAGCTGCAGGGGTGGGTTCTGCTCCTTTTGAGAAGCTCCTAACGGGGACTCCTCGCTCCGCCGGCAGCCAGTGTGACTTCAAAGAGAGGGGAGAGGTGGAAATGAAATTGCATGGTCTGTTGGTTTTTTCAAATTCCTTTATAAGGCACGTGGCTGCCGGTCAGATCCCTGGGTGGAGGATTCTGGGCCTTGGCCGCAGGTGCGTTGACCTTCTCCCTCTTCCTTGGACATGTCTCATCGAGTCTTCTGCATGGCCCGAGGACTGGCTCTCTGCAGGCTGGTGATAGGTTATCTGTTCCTCTCCCGTCTTCTGCGCGTTTTAATCATTCCCATGCTTTTCTGAACATCTTCCTCCACATTCAAGGTGGAAGCTGTTAAGAGTCCCCGAGGAGCGTTTTTAGGTTATTGGCTAGGATCGGGATGTCGTTTCCTGCATGTGCCCTTGCGGCCAAGCCAGCCTCCTTTCCTCTGAGTGTGCCAGCAGGCAGCCCCAGGTGCCTTCTGCAGGCTCTCCGTGCCTCGAACTCGGGAACCCTTCAGCCCTCTTGACTGCCTGGGAATCAGACAGCAACTTCCTTTGCCTTCCCACAGAGTTCCGTGCAATTCTCTGTCCTCAGCATTTCTGGAGTTCCCGTGGATGTTTTACGTTGGTCTTTCTTGTTAGACTATGTTCTTTGACGCTAACCCGCATTCCCGTCGCTTTTGAAAACACAGCACCCGGTTAGCGCTTGGTACATACAAGGTGCTAACTAAATGCATTTTTAGTAAGTGTGTGTGTTCAAACTTCAGACGAATCTGTGCTCAAAATACTTGTGTGTGTATGTGGGTGTGGGTGTGTGTGTGTGTGCAAGAGAGAGAGGGAAGGGGGGCAGGGAGAGATGTCATAGCTGTCATCATCCTTTATTTACTAAGGAGCTGTCATGGTTCGAGTAGATGTAAGACTGCGGCATCGTCTCTTAGTCTAGAAGGTCAGCAGGAAGTCGCCAAGGAGCCAGATACTTTCAGGATCTCCTTGCAATTTTCGTCCTTTTACGGTGCCGGGAGCTCAGCTCTTCCTCTTTGCTCTTCCTTTCAGAAAGTATTATGAGGGAGGCCGAGGACCCCATGCTCCGAGCAGAGAAGCGGCGCTGGGATTAGGGGTTGCCACTTCTGAGAGGATGCTGGGAATCTGCAGAGGGAGACGGAAATTCCTGGCTGCCTCCCTGACCGTTCTCTGCATCCCAGCCATCACCTGGCTTTACCTGTTCGCCGGGAGCTTGGAAGGTAAGAAGGCGGCTTCTGCACAGGGTGGGGCAGGGAGGGAGGACAGAGGACACAGGCCTTCCCAGAGTCCTTGGAAAGCCCCTCCGGGTCATGTGATTCCAGCTTGTCATTGCGCGGAGCAGGAGGAAATGGGTGCCCTCTTGCACGTGGGTGCAGGCTGAGACTTGCTAGGTTTGCATGGGTGGTGGGGGGTGTCAGTAGGGAGGAGGACAGAATGCAAACGAAAGCAAAACGAGGTGCACCTGCGTCCAGTGGCATAGTGGGAGGGGACGCCCATGTCAGAGACCAGCTTTGCACGTCGATCCTTGTGCTGATGAGGGGCGGGAGGTTGGGGCCCCGGAAGGATTACTCTACTGTTCATGGAAACCAGATGTTTCGTTCATTCTGAGGTTTGTGCCTTTACTCACACATTGAACCTTTTATTGTCACCATTGCTACAGCTCGTGTTGAACCCCTCTGCTGGGCCAGGAGTGGGGAAGGCGGTGGTCCAGATCTGGTTGGGCACAGTGCCCTAGAGGCAGCAGACGGGTTAGCCTGGGGCCTCCACATGTAGGGCACCCACGGGAGACGGCTGTGGGAGCCGGGCAGGTGCAAGAGATGCACAGCTACACCGACAGGCTGCTTTGGAAGAGCTGCCCTTGCCAAACAAAAAGAAATGAATGCCAGTCCCCATCACTGTGCAGAAACCAGCAGAGCAGACCAGACTAGCCTTTCCTCCAGCCAGCAGTTTCCCGGGCCGTGCGCTGTTCCACGGATCGGAGATGGTTTTCTGAGCTTCAGAGGGGGAAGGGATGGCCGTGTTGAGGAAGACACTGTCTTTTGATTTGCGCCCACAAGTGAGGTTAAAAAAAAAAAAATCCCCAGTGAAGATCTATCTCAAGGAAGTCACTGCTGTGTTTTATTTTTCTCCAAAGATTTTACTGATTCATTTTTAGAAAGAAAGAGAATGAGGGGAGAGGCAGAGGGGGAGGGAAGGGACAAGCAGACTCCATACTGAGCGCAGAATCCCACGTGGGGTGCAGCCCCACAACCCCGAGACCGTGATCTGAGTGGAAATTGAGAGTCGGACACTCATCCCCCCATCCCCTTTTTTTCCCAAATATTTTCATTTTTTAGAGAGGGAGAGAGAATGTCACTACTGGATTTTTCAGCATTTCCTTTATGCATAATTTTATTGACAGCTCAGGACAACCTTTTAAGTAGGAGTTCCACTTCCCTTTCTGAGGTTTGCTCAGCTGCATAGGATGGAGGTGGCACTGTGTGCCTACAGAGCAGGCAAGGGCCTATTACTTCCCTGTCCCATGCCTCCCCAGAGTAGAGGAGTTTCCACCTGATCTGCTAAATGGGGTAAATGATGCTGTGGCAGTGGGTCAGTAAGTTTTGGCAAAGAGATCAGAGGGAGGAAGGTGAGTTGCCCTTGATCCTAGAAAGGACTGAAGGAAGCATTATGCCAGGAACGATGGAAGAGCCTTGGAAAAGAAGGTTGAGGGCACCCGGTGCCGGTCCAGGGCTGGTACTGGGAAACACTGACTTTGCCAGTACAACTGGACGGGTACTGATCCTAATAGTATAAGAATAATAACAACAGTAACGAGGATGATCGTGTTTTAGGCATTGTTGCAGGCCAGGTTTGGTTGCAAGGATTTTGCACGCATTGACTCTTTCTCGATGGTAATCCCTTGTAGTTGGTACAGAAGAGGATGGGGAGGCAGAAGTCCCACAGTGATCTGTCCAAGGCCCCAGACCCAGTCAGGATGGATCTGGGTTATTGGACTCGAGATCTGGAGTTTCTAACTACAATGCCATGTTGTAGATGGGGACTTCAGTGAGGTAGCAGGCTTTGGCGAGGGTTTGATGAGGTGTCACATGACCTTTCTGGGAGGCTGTGAGCAGAATTTTGATTTGCGCTCATTGATGGACACCCAGCCCCAAATGAATTTGGCAACAAGGGAACCTGGGAACTGATGAAACCACTAAGTTCAAAGGTAGGAAAGGCTTCAGGAAGGGTTGGATCTAGGGGCTCCAATGATATTTTTGTAGCTCAGTCTCCCTCCTTCCCTTTGCTCTACTTTTCTCTGCTGTGGTTTCTTTTAGGCAGTTTTATCTACACAGAGGAAGCTGTAGCTTACAACTTACCCTCACCAGTGCCTGTAGAAAGAGTTCCTTCTCCCCCTAATTGTGCAATATTTCCTCAGATTGAATTATCCCTGGTCACATGTAGTCTAGAGACTATTCACTGCCATTGGGAGAGGCTCTGAGCCCTGTGCCTATTTTTGGTCATAGGGTAGAGAAGGTCCCTAAAACATGTGGAATCAGAATGGGGGTTGGGTGGCCCCCAAAGGTAAGTGGTGGAGTTTCCAAAAACAGAGACTGGGAGTTGATCTGTGGCATGGAGAATTCATACATAATCAACTGTGCTTAGCGATAAGTTGATATCAGCCAGAAGTCTGTTTTCCACCATCATGCTATCTGGGCCAGCTCTGCTGGATGGAGTGACCATGATCCTTGACTTTGAATGATTTTATTAGACGGGCAGATAGATGACGGGAAATGGGGAGGATCGAGGCAATCATACTCTGAGGTGACCTGCACAGACTGGGTGTAGGTGCCCTATTTATCAACATGATGCTTAATCATAAATCCTCCCCTTGGGACCGAATCACAAAAGACATTAAACAGGGGCTAGATGATATGAGTTATGATATGATATGATATGATATGAGTTAACAGGTGTTCTGGCTAGAATGACAAAGGTGACCGTTGTCTTTTACAGGGTATCCGTTAGTCCTAGCTGGACCACAGCATTTGCTTCTGGATGCCATACTTTGAGAACAGTTGAGACAAGTCAGCACATTTAGGAGAACCTAGGTGAATGGCAGTGCCCATTCAAACCTTGTTATGTACGAAATAGTGGAAGGAATTGAGGCTGTTTACCTTGGAGAAGCAGAAGCTGCAACTGTACCTGGTCAGCTTCAGCACGTGGTCACGGGGCTGTCACCTGAAAGAGAGATGACCCCCAGATCTATGGAGGACATGGCAGGGAGCCACCTGTCAAGGTCATCATAGTAAAGGATCACTCTGTCCAGGGCTGGAATGAGCCGCCCTGAGAGGTAGGGAGACACCTGACGTGAGAGGTGTGTACTCAGGAATACAGGGTAGTGGTGGGGGCAGTGGGCGGTGCTCAGCGTCAGGATGACCTGCCTGACCCATCCTGACCCAGAGTCCGGAGACTCCAGAAAATGCCGAGTCTTCACTGGGAGACAACGGGTACCTCGTCACAGCCCCTGCCAGTTGCCAGCAGACATCATGCATTTCCAAAGAGACCGTGGAGACAGTCTTTTCTCTGTAGTTAAACATAACTTCGCAAACCGTTTATTGTCACCCTTGAGTTTTCTGTTTCAAGGCAGGTGGAGCCATAAATCAGGGACAGAGTCGCTGCCTGCCTTCATGGAAATGCTATTTATACTTTATGTGAATTTATTTTTTTTCAACCCTGTTTAATTTCAGGGTATCGCTTGGAGATGCAGATGCCCTCAGCAGAATGTTTGGAAGTTAGATTACCTGCAGCAGCAAGAGACATTGGGATCACCTTAGATGGGGCGGGGGTGGCGTGGGGGAGGGTCACAGGCCCCCAGATCAGCTGAGCCACAGTAGCTGGGTGACTAGGGGTACGGTCACTGCTCTTTCTAGGCCTTCATCTCCTGCTGCATGAAATGACATAAAACTGAAGGTCATCTGTAGGGGCTGTTAGGGCACTAACATTCTAGAACTTTTCTCTGCTAAGCATGTGATGTGAATGATTTGGAAATGACCAGAATCTTACCCAGTTAATGGGAAATAGATCCAGAAGAGGGAATGGGCTTCCTGGGATTTTCTCCTGAGTGTGGAATCAGGGTCAGTGCAAAGAAGTTACCGGGAAGCAGGCATTGTCTTAATATGAGAAGGAACTCCTTTGCGAGAAGTAGACCTCCCAAGCCTTAGAGTTAGGCTCTGGGACAGTGAGATGTCCCTGCTCAGAGCTGTTCGTCGGAGGCCAAGTGACTGTCGGTTACGGATAATGCACAGGGGGATGTTTCTGCTGGTATTCAACCCCCAGGTTCCTAAGCCCTACTTCCTTCATTTCTTCTCCAGTCCACCCTTCCTCCTCTAGCATCTCGGTGACCCTTCCCAGCTGCCCATCCTTCGTGCTCGAAGTGGTGAGTCTTTGCTTCAACCTTTGGGTCTCAGCCGAGCACGCTGGCCCCTCACCCTTAATGATGTTGGCTTCCTGGGCCACAGGTGTCCATACTCCTTGTACTATCTTTTCACACCTGCTTTACTTTACTTTTCGTGTGTGTGTGTGTGTGTGTGTGTGTGTGTGTGTGTTTCTAATCACGTGTCTTCACAAGTGAGTACCAGTGTCAGGAAGGAAGGGAGAGGTTCTCTTCTGTTCAGGCTTTCGTCTCTAGAGGAGCCAGGAGAACTGTTTGTTGAATGAGGGAATGAGCGAAAAAGGCCCTCTTTTGGCTTAGAGGACTGACGACTCTCCCCGTTGCCTCCTGGATTCCCTCCAGACTCCTGATCCTGGCTCGGGGTCTTTCACAGGCATTTTCCCTTTGCTTCTAATTTGTCTTCACCCAGGTGAGTGCCTCATCGAACGCCCTGAGAAAACTTTTGTTTTCTTGCTTCTTAATGTTGGCCCTTTGCTCCTTCTGCCGAGTGTGCAATTCTCTTTTTTTCCACCGCCCTTCCTCCCAGCTGGCGCCTTCGATGCCCGTGTTCAATGTCATTTTCTCCTAATGTCTGGTCCCATGGGGGGAGCTTCTCTCCCAGCATTCATCAAGGGGTAGTTTGCTTGTTTGGTGTCTTTCTAGCCACTCGCTTTTGAGTTTGGGGACTGTTTCGCTCATCTTCACATTGTCAGAGTCTGGGTATCACTCTCAGTGGGTCCTCAGTGTGAATGTCGACTGGGAGGGAGTCTGGATATTGAAGGGACACAGGAGTCACTGCTGGGGCTCTGA